TTTATTCATTGATGATGAGTGAAATAAAGGAACGTTAGCTCTGGTGGTTTGGTTTCCATTTGCCTTTGCAGCAAGCTCCCTGCATTGCCATGTGCCCCATGCTGCTGAGGGGGCTCCATGGGATTGTTTACTGTGTTAGCAGCTGCTGAAAAGTTCTCTAAAGAGGCCCAAGGAATCCAGTCTTTGTCTCCTTAGGCCCCTCTGTACCCCTGTTAGCAGCTTTTCCGCATTTTCAGTTTTGACAAGGTTCTTTACGCCTTTGAAACTCGTTTTACATTTATGTTTCAATTACACCGAGCATTGTTTCTGTTGGTTTTGGGTAATGTCTCATCTGATTTATCTGCACTTCATTTTAACCTATTCAGTCTTCTCTATCACAGTTAAAGGGCACCACCATTCACACAATTGATCAGATCCAAAATTTAGGAGTCAGGCTTCATTTCTCTCTTTCTTTTACTTCCTAAATTCAGACCAAAATCAATTCCTTTAAAGGCTGCCTTCTCAAAATAGCATAATTAAAGTACCATTGTCTCCACTTCCCTTATATTACTCTAGTCAAGCCACTATTATCCCTCAATCAAAAAACCACAGAGTCTCATATATGGGCTCTCGATTTTCATTTTTGCTCTTTTAACCTATACTCTAGGCAGCAGCAAGAGCAATCTGCCCAGTGCAATGATCTAATGTCACTTCCTCTGCTTAAGCTACAATGACTCCCTATCCTACACTGAGGCCTTATATGATAAGATCCTTGCTGGGTCTCTGATCCAATGTGTATGTAACATGTTCCCCTTCAGTCCCTCCAGGCTCCATTCTTATCCTTGGCACACACAAGCAAGCTCAAGCCAGTTGCCATCATTTCCCTCAGTTGGGTTTGCTTTCCCCACTGTATCATCCCTTAAGGAGGCTTTTCCTGGCTGAGGTGGTCTCCTCTCAGGCACCTTCACTTCACATTATTGTATTTTCTTTGTAGCAGAAATTGTCTTGCTTATTAGTGAATTTCTTTGTTTGCAGTGTGTTCTCCACACACACACAAAGATGCAAATTCCATGAGTCATATCTGTATGTTCTTGATTTCTATGTGGCTCAAGTGCCTAGAACAGTGCCTGGCACATAGTAGGTGCTAATAATATCTATTACCTTGACATAAAACATTTCACATAGAATCGCTGAATTTATGTGTTTCCTTAAGAAGACAGAAGATTCTGGTTCTTTTTAAACTTTGGGTCTGGCTCAGCCTAATGAATGAGATCTCCAATTCTGTATTCAAGTTGACTTATTTGAATTCCATGTTGTACTATGCATGTAGTCATGCCTGACTCACTTCACATCTCTGAGCCTCAGCTCCTTTCTCTATAAAATTCAGACAATAACAGTACTTACTCCATAGGGTCATGTGTAGATTAAACAAGACAATCAATACGTGTTAAACCTATCAGTCCAATGCCTTGGAATGGCAAACCCTCAATAAACATTATTACTATTACTGATGTTGGTTTTGTACTCTGAGCAGTCATCACTGCAAAGTAGAGGGGAAGATTTCTCTATCAGAGATCATGCCTTTCATTTACACACATCCATTTATTTATTCCATGAAGATTTGGATGCGAACTAGTTCCGGACACCATGCTAGGCATGGCCTACCTACACAAATACTAATAAGTATGCTTGCCTTTAAGGAGCTTACCATGCCAAGCAAGCAAGTGATTCAAATTCGTATGAGACCATGGGATAATGGATAGACATATGCCCATAGGGTATGAGAAGAAGAGGGGAAAGATCTAAGTCACAGGGGGTGGGGAGAGAATGATGCCCATTTCTCTGAACCAAGAGTCAAAGGATGAGTACATGCATATGCCTTTGCTCTTCCAATACCACTGAGGCAGCCACGTCTGGTTCATTAGCCCTATTTTAAAGATGAAGAAACCGAGGTTTGGAGTAAGCGGAAGATCCAGTGTGCAAAATCTAAGATCTGCCCCTGGTTGGCGATATGGTCCCTAAGCTTGAGGAATTAAACAAGGCAAAATGTCCCTAAAGGACAGAAACTTGAAAAAAAATTGTTTTTGCTAATGATCTCAACTGGGACACTCAGCTCAGCCCCAGTGTCTGGGATTCTCAAGGGAATAGGTCTCAATCTCACAGCCCTCACAAACAAATCCCCCATTTATAGCCAAAACAAAAACATCACCTTGAAGCAAATGTAGAAAGAGATCTTAGACCATAAATATTACTTTGTTAGAAATGTAACTCTTGGTATATTTTTCTAAGCAGACATTCACTATAGTGTCTGGGAGGACAATCCATGCCTGGAAGTTGGAAAAATACACCAGGAATTTTACCTTTGGTTCTTTAAAGACTTCAGAAAATCCTCCTCCAGAAACTCAAAAGTGGAAACAGTAGCAGGAGCTGCTGAAGGGTGAGTGGGGAGCACTTTGGACATTCAACAATGTCCTAAAACAGTGGTAGGCAAACTACGGCTCGCGAGCCACATGCGGCTCTTTGGTCCCTTGAGTGTGGTATTGTCTACACTCAGGATTTACTTTGCTTAAGAATATCTTTGAGTAGACAAACCGGTGGTGGCCAGGGGTCATAGGGTGAGGAAAATAAGATGTTGGTCAAAGGATACAAACTTCCAATAATAAGATGTATAAGCTCTGGGATCTAATGTACAGCATGGTGACTATAATTAACAACACTATATTGTGTACTTGAAAGTTGCTGTAAGAGTTGACATGTTCTTATCATAACAACAACTGTGTTAGGTGAAGGTTGTAATAACAAACTTCAACATGGTAAACATTTTGCAATAGATCCGTGTATCAAATTATCACATTGCACACCTTATACTTACGCAATGTTACATGTCACTTACATCTCCATATGAAAGCTGGGGGGAAATAGAATATATCTGAAAGAGACATAGGAAAAGTCTGTTGTGATTTAATAGAGAAAATGCTGCTAATTAGAGCAACACTCCCTAAGTGTATATAATGTAAGCCCCTATTGTGTCTTGCCCTTACCTTGTTCAAAGTACTTTCTCTGCTTGGAGTTGCCTTCCCTGGCTATCTAGGTCTCCAATTCATATAATCCCAAGCATATTCTTAGACCCGATTTTAACATTACTTATTTCAAGGAAGGTTTCTCTGGCAAGGTTCTTCTAGCAATATGAGATCTTTCCTCCAAAGTCAAACAGCATTTGGTCTGTGTCTCCTTTTGGACACTATTCACTCTGTCTTTGTCACAGAGAATCACTATAACAATTGAACTTGAGGACTATGGATATAACTAATTCACTGTTTTAGAGCATAAGTCTCTGAACATTGTTTTTAACACCCAAGATGCTCAATTTATTTTTTCCCTTTGGACTTAATTTATCTCTTTTAACACCTAAAATAGTACTTCTCTTGTTTCTTTAATGTCTTATCAAGAAGGTAAGGCTTCGAGTTAATAAACCTGGCAGCATTTTCACTTGCTGAGAGATGGTATGTCTGTAACTTGTGCTTAACAATTTAAGGGTGTAAAATACATACAAAAATAGTTAACAATTATAAAAAGGCACATGAAATATAAATAAACACATGCAACAAATAGCTATGGATATAAAATGCCACTAATACCAGTGAAGTCCTGGTATTATATGTAATGTCATCAGTCAGTCAATAGCTCTTTTCCTCAGCATTATGTTTCTAAGTTTTGGGCTACGAAATGTGGTTCTTGTAATTTATTTTTCCTAATGCATAATATTCTATTGTTTTCTATACCATTATTTATTTAACCATTAGTTGTATAATTTCTTTTCAATTTTTGTCTAGTATGTAATCACATGGCTCAATTTATCATTTTAAAATCCAATTTGACAATCTTTGAATTTTAATGATGAGTTTAGTCCATTTACATTTATTTTTCTTACTAATTCATTTGGATTTATTTATGCCTTCTTAGGTGATTTCTATTTATCTTGATATTTTCTATTATTTGTTTCATCTCCCCTACTGTGTTAATCTGGATTGGTTGATTTTAAAATTTCATTTATTCTTCTAAAAACTTCAGTTTTATCTTTTGTAATTATTGAAAATATATACAAAACTTTAAAATTTCATTTATTCTTCTAAACCTAAAAAATTCATTTTTATCTTTTGTAATTATTGAAAATATATACATATAAGTAAACGCCTAAGAACAAGAATTTTAGAACTCGATAAACCTAATGAACCCTCCAATCTAACATATTAGTTTTTGCTGATATGTTTAGTTTATCACTTCCCCATGGAAAATATTATTATTATTTTGTACTCTTATTTATTCCTGTTTTTCCATATGTTTCCCAATGTCTGCACTCATTTCTTTTTGCTTCTGAGACTTCCTTCAGAGTATATTCCTCTTTTCTGAATAACGGTCTTTAGAAGCATCTTCAGTGCACAACTCTTGATGGTAAACTCTCTTCATTGTCTTTATGAAAACATCTTTATAATCTATGTTTTTCATTAGATTTTTAAATATAAAACCTTCATAACAATTAAAAATATAGTACAAGGAATTCTGGTATACACTTCACCTAGATTAACCAATTCTTTTTCTGTTCATTTTGCTTTATCTCCACATGGACAAATTTCAAGAGTTTGAACCAGGATTAAACTGATAAATGACTGAGAAAAACTATAGGATGTTGAAAGGGTTCAAAGTCCTATTTTAACATTGCTTTACAATATTAAATGTAGATATCTGTTTAATTTGGAAAAACATGTTTAAATCTATGTTTCTTAGAATCACACATATTAGAGGTCAGTCTTTTATGAAATCTTTGGAAAATGAATGCATGGCTCAGATATCACTTTTATTGGGGTGGTTCATTCTTGAGAAAATAAAGGAACTACTTACTAAGCAATAAACCCTATTGTGAATGTTTGCCTGAAAATCCAATACCAAAAAAAAGAAAAGAAATGTGACATGAAATGCAAGAGGCTTTCTTTTTTCAATAGGTCCTAAACATTTCCCTTCTTTTCTTTATTCTCCTCTGGGTCCTTTCTAGCCATGACACAAGAAAATAGCACTGAAGTGACTGAGTTCGTTCTTCTAGGATTTGGTGCCCAACACAAGTTTCAGTATGCTCTCTTCGTTGTATTTCTGGTCATCTATGTGACCTCTATGGTGGGTAATATCGGAATGATTCTGCTCATCAAGACAGATTCCAGACTTCGAACACCCATGTACTTCTTCCTACAACATTTGGCTTTTGTTGATACCTGCTATACCTCTGCTATCACTCCCAAGATGCTGCAGAACTTCATAGCAGGAAATATATCAATATCATTCAGGGGCTGTGTTATGCAATTACTGGTTTACGCAACATTCGCAACCAGTGACTGTTACCTCCTGGCTGCTATGGCAGTGGACCGTTATGTGGCCATCTGTAACCCACTTCACTATCCCATTGTCATGTCCCGAAGAGTCTGCATCCATTTGGTAGCTGGCTCATACGTCATGGGCTCCATAAATGCTTCTGTGCACACAGGTTTTACATTTTCATTGTCTTTCTGCAAGTCCAATGCCATCAATCACTTTTTTTGTGATGTTCCACCAATCCTTGCCCTTTCATGCTCCAACACTGACATCAACATTAGGCTACTTGCTGTCTTTGTGGGATTTAACTTGATGTCCACTGTGCTGGTTGTCATCTTTTCCTACATCTCTATCATGGTTGCCATCCTAAAGATGTCTTCTACCACCGGGAGGAAAAAAGCCTTCTCCACGTGTGCCTCCCACCTGACAACAGTCACCATTTTCTATGGGACCCTATCATACATGTACCTACAGCCTCATTCTAGCAATTTCCAGGAGAATATGAAAGTGGCTTCTATATGTTATGGCATTATGATTCCCATGTTGAACCCCCTGATCTACAGTTTGAGGAATAAGGAAGTAATGGAAGCTCTAAAAGTGATGGGGAAAAAGATCCTCTAGATTGGACCCCAATTCAGCACATCAAGGCATCCAGTAGAGATGTTTGATCACCATGTAAAGTTTCTGAAATTGGAAACACATTCACAACTTAAAACAATGCTACCTCTTTCAATAGATAAGTTCTTAGAATGTAGAAAATATCTAAACATTTCATGGGACTAATTTTCCCTTAAGTATAGTTTGAGAAACATATTTCATACTACCCATGAAGAAGGGCTTTATTTAAATTATTTAAAATATTAAGAAGTGTGTATGGACTTTGCAAAATACTTAGTTGTTTCAAATATTTTGGCTATGATCTTAAAGACCAGAAAACTCCAATGCTGTATATAATTAATTTTAAAAGTTCATTATTCCCCATTCATTTTAACAAGTTCTCTAACTTGTCTATAAAGAGGCTTCACATATGTTCTGTTCCAATTATTGCATAAATCAAAATATGAAATAAACTGATTTGAAAACACTGTATGTCTTAGGCTATTATGCTTTCTACCTAATAATCCCCTATTAGTTACATTCTCTAGTACTTAAAAACACATTTTTATATGATATTATGATTTATTTTTTATATCAGTTACCCACTTTATTCTTAATGTATCTCTTTCTTGCATAAAGTAGGAAACTTCTAGAAACACTTTTGATATCTGTCTCCATTAGAGGTAGAAAATCTAGAATGGCCCTAGCTGGTTTTGCTCAGTGGATAGAGCATCAGCCTATGGACTGAAGGGTCTAGGGTTCAATTCCGGTCAAAGGCACATGCCCAAGTTTCAGGCTCAATCCCCAGTAGGGGGCATGCAGGAGGCAGCCAATCAATGATTCCCTCCCATCACTGATGTTTCTATCTCTCCCTTCCTCACTGAAATCAATAAAAATATATTTTTAAAAAATCTAGAATATAGATAGATCTAAAAACCTAAACAATGGTCATTCATTTATGAAAGGCATGCCTGATCATTTTAGTCCAAATGAATAACTTTAAACTATAGGAATTTAATGAAAAGTTGAAGGGAAGCAAAGGGCCCATTGAATCAGGAAGATAGACTGTTGATTTAAAATAAAAAAAAAAAAGCTTTAGTTGATAGGTTGAAGGTAAATGATGGAAACTCCCACATGAATCTCGAGATGCCATGCTAGCAAGATGAAAGAGAAAGCTTCACTTAAATAACACCAGCCAGTGTAATGAACTAATGAGAAAAATGTACTGTTAAATAACAGCATAGGAGAATTGGGCAAGAGATGAAGATATGTTTTTTCAAATATGCTATCCTACTTAAATTCTAAGAGAAGATAAATAATTTGAAGTCAGTGTAAGATTACCAGAATCTCCCCAGCAAAGACTCTCTTTCTAAAGGAAGATACCTACTGTCCAAGAAAGGTCGAACACAAACATACACACAAATGAGTATATAAGTAAAGCTGAAGAAATCTGAGTAATATCAATAGATTGCATTAATGTCAATATCCTGTTTGTGATATCATACTATACTTTTGCAAAATGTTATCATTGGGGGTGTCTTCACTTTCCATTGCTGCTGTAACAAATTTAGTAGCTTAAAACAACACAAATCTGTTATCTTACAGTTCTGGAAGACAGCATCCAAAAAGGGTCTCTATATCAAGATGTCAGAAGGGCTATGTACCTTTGGGAAAATTCTAGGGAGGAAATCTACTTTCTTGATTTTCTGAGGGTTCTAGGGAAGAATCTATTTCCTTTATTTTTTAGCTCCTAGAAGCTACCTATCTTCCTTGGTTTATAGCCTACTTCTTTATCTTCAAAGCCAACATCACAGCATCATCAAATTTCTCTGTGACCCTCACTCTTCTGCTTTCCTCTTCTAATGCTAAGGACTCTTGGAAAATCCAGAGTGGTCTCTCCATCTCAAGTTCCGCTGATTAGCAACCTTAGTTCCTCTTTGCCATGCAATTTAACATGCTCACAGATTCCAGGGATTTGGATATAGACATTTGGGGGGAACTACTCACAGGAAGAATCTTGGAAATGTGTACAAGGGATCTCTCTAGTTTATTTCTTGCAACTTTACATGAAGTTATAATCATCTCAATAAAAAAATTTATTGAAAATACATTTAGTGGAAATGTTTGTTAATCTGTGCTATAGTTAAACTGATTTTCAACTGTGTTGGTCTTCATCTTTTGTACAAACGTATCTTCCACCATCCTGGGCTTGCCTTGTGCTACAAAGGAAGAAAAAAGGCCTCCCCCATAGATGTCTTCCGCCTAACAGCTCTCAGTTTTCTTTGAGGCCTTCTCTTACATGTACTTACAGTATGGATCTAATGAGTTTCCAGAATAGAACAATGCAACACCGATATTTTGTGGCATTATAATTCTCATGTTAAATCTTCTTATCTACCACCTATGAAATGAGGAAGTAAAAGAAGCTCTACAATCAATAGGAATAAATTTGTCTTGCTTGGGCATCATTTGCTAACACTGAGTGCCAGAAGTATCTAAGTGGTGAGTGTTCTGTGACATTTGCTGATATCACATTGACCATAGCAAGTCACACAACCAACCTAGTTTAAAAGAGTTGGAGTAATTGACTCCACTGCTTGTCGGAAAGATCTGTAACATCACATTATAATGGTGTGGATGCATTGAAGGAAAGAATTTGTGGCCATCTTTATAATTGAGCACACCATGTTTCTGCCCAGAGCAAATTGTTTTCTTTAAGTGACACCCTAATCAGGATATGATTCACACTGCCATAGGTGTAAGAATGAGAAACTCTCAAATTTAATCTTCACAAACACAATGATAATTTGTATTTTGCTCATTATTGTATCCCCAGCACCTATTAATTGTCAGCGCTATATTACATCCTCATTAAATGCTTGCTGAATGAATGAACAGAGAATGCACACAGAAAACTTGATTGTGGTCACTACAATAAAAACAACTACCAGCTACAGCCCAGTACAGCTAACTGTTCTTATAGCAGCTCATGTTTTATAGGGGCTCTGGAGGTCCAGCAACTGTCTCTAAGACATTATGATAAATGCTTAACTCTTCAACCAAAATTTGAAATCAAAGGTTAGCAAAGATGGCTGCCTTTATAGAAAATATTAGTCTAAAGCAAGGTGGGGGAGGGGGGATATGGCACCAATCATAAAAGATTCCAATAAGAATAACACGGAAAAGGCCACTAGGGGGTGCACCAAGAAAGCATAAAAAATGCGGAGACAAAGAAACAGGACAAAATTGTCCATGGAGGATATAGATTTCAGAACCACACTATTAAGGGCTCTCAAGAACTGTCTAGAAGCTGCCGATAAAGCTATTGAGATCTACAAGAAATCTAATGAGGCCCTCGATGCTATGATAAAGAACCAACTAGAAACTAAGCATACACTGACTGAAATAAAGAATATTATACAGCCTCCCAACAGCAGACCAGAGGAGCGCAAGAATCAAGTCAAAGATTTGAAAAGCGAAGAAGCCAAAAACACCCAACCGGAAAACCAAAATGAAAAAAGAATCCAAAAATATGAAGATAGTTTAAGGAGCCTCTGGGACAGCTTCAAGCGTACCAACAGCAGAATTATAGGGGTGCCAGAAGATGAGAGAGAGCAAGATATTGAAAACCTATTTGAAGAAATAATGACAGAAAACTTCCCCCACCTGGTGAAAGAAATAGACTTACAGGTCCAGGAAGCGCAGAGAACCCCAAACAAAAGGAATCCAAAGAGGACCACACCAAGACACATCATAATTAAAATGCCAAGAGCAAAAGACAAAGAGAGAATCTTAAAAGCAGCAAGAGAAAGAAACTCAGTTACCTACAAGGGAATACCCATACGACTGTCAGCGGATTTCTCAACAGAAACTTTGCAGGCCAGAAGGGAGTGGCAAGAAATATTCAAAGTGATGAATAGCAAGAACCTACAACCAAGATTATTTTATCCAGCAAAGCTATCATTCAGAAGTGAAGGCCAGATAAAGAGCTTCACAGATAAGGAAAAGCTAAAGGAGTTCATCACCACCAAACCAGTATTATATGAAATGCTGAAAGGTATCCTTTAAGAAGAGGAAGAAGAAGAAAAAGGTAAAGATACAAATTATGAACAACAAACATGCATCTATCAACAATTGAATCTAAGAATCAAGTGAATAAATAATCTGGTGATCATAATAGAATCAGGGACATAGAAAGGGAATGGACTGACTATTCTTGGGGGGGAAAGGGGTGTGGGAGATGCGGGAAGAGACTGGACAAAAATCGTGCACCTATGGATGAGGACAGAGGGTGGGGAGTGAGGGCGGAGGGTGGGGCGGGAACTAGGGGAGTTATGGGGGGGAAAAAGAGGAACAAATGTAATAATCTGAACAATAAAGATTTAATAAAAAAATTTAAAAAATAAAATTAAATTTAAAAAAAGAAACCTATGGCGGGGGGAAGAATAACACGGAGAAGAAAGCACCTACAGAAGCTGAAAGGCAAAGAATCTATACACCATCTCTTACATGTGTTCACCAACAGTGGCAAAACGTACTTTCTTTTCATCCACTGTCCATTCTCCTCTTGTTCCATTCTAAAAAGGTCCCAATGTAATGTGGAAAGTAATGTAACCAGATAAATAGGTACTAATTTCTCAGTTTCCATTGTGGCCAGGATGGTACGTGTCTTAGTTTTCATTCCTGAGATATGGTTTTGGGTAAAGGTAATGTATGTGGGTATGTATAGTGAAGAATTAACCTTACCTAAACAAATATCTGTCCTTTGCTTTCAACTACTGGGAATTGATCTCTAAGTCCCTGGAATGCCCTCCTAATAGGAATGTCTGTTTGCCTGGAAGCCTTGGCCATTTAAATGTTCTGTGTGATTTACGATGGGGCTTTGGGATACTGCCATATTAGTTCCAACCTCCAGAGGAACTGCAGACCTAAGGGATTACCTGAACGTCTGCAGGGGTTGGGAACTAAAGATCAGCCACATCAGCAATATGTCACAGAACTCCAACAGACAGCTGGAGTTGGTAGCTACAAAATAGTGATGGAGATGTATGTTACAGCATAGGGAATATAGTTAACAATATTACAATAACTATACATGGTGCCAGCTGGGTACTGGAAATATCAGGAGGAACACTTTGTAAAGTACATGATTGCCTAACCACTATGCATTCACCTGAAGCTAATACAAAATATATTGAATGTAAACTACAATTGAAATTTTTTTTAATTTAAACTTTGTATCCCAAAGGCTCAGGTAAGGTTCCCAGGTTGGCCATACTCCATGCATGTTACCACACATTGACACCCAGAGGGTAATACATATCCTGAAGACAATGGAAGCTTCAAGTTTGAAACCCTCACAGAATTTGCCTTGTGTATCTCTTCTTTTGGCTGGTTCTAATTTGTAAACGTTTGCTATAATATAACTGTAACTGCAT